GGCTGATGAATGTTTGAATGGATGGAATGGCCGAGTGAAGACAGGCGGCAAGAACTTAATCGATCGCCGGCCAAACGTAATGGCGAGAACTTAATCAATTGCCATCAGCCAAACACAATGGCAAGAATTTAATCGATCGCCACTGAAACGTGATAGCAAGAATTTAATCAATTGCCATCAGCCAAGTAATGACAAGAATTTAATCAATTGTCACTACGATTCAATGGCAAGAATTTAATCAATTGCCATTGAATTGAAAACCTAACTAAAATTGCGTAATTAAAATTGGCATAATTGAAATTTAAAGAAAGTAAATGGCTGAATCGAAATAGTTGACAATGATCTAATCAATTGCCATTAAATTGAAATAAAGAAATTGATAAGAAAATGACGTAGAGTCAATTGAAAACATTTTTAGTTAAAATGCATGTTTTGTGGTGGTGCTGGACAAATTGGAATAGGAATACAATACTTCTATTTATAGAAGTTCTATCTCAACTTATTTTCCTAAGTTATTGCTAAAAAATCTCTCCTTATTTGATTCTTTTTCTTCACAATTTGAACTCAGTCAAATCCTATTGTTATTCCGCTTCCTTTCTTGTTTTATTTCAGTAGGAAATCTCTATAAAAACAACCTTCCTCGATTTAATCACATGTAAGTTGCCGAGATATTGCTAAAACGTTGCTAGAAAGTTGCTGAAAAGTTGCTAATTTTTAGCAACTCCCCTCCTTAAGTTTAGCAGCCCGTTTCATTCCCTTAAATGGCCCAAAAGCCATTTATCGCTTTTATATTCATGACGCGGCTGCCTTTTGTATTTTTTCCTTGTTCCATCCAACTAGAATTCCTATAAAATAGGAATTTAGTTGTCTGATTTCCTTAAAACTTTAGTCTTTCCTTTCCTGTTGATAACCCAACTTGAATAAAGTCAAATGTTTGTTGCTATATTTTAGCAACTGCCTTATTAATGAAGTGGCTGAGTAACTTTCTCCAATACTTGCTCCTGATATTTCTTAACTGGCTGATTCCCTTGACGCCATGTTAAAAATACTTATCAGCTTTTCATTGGTCCACGTCATCGCTGAGATGGCTGCCAAGTTTTGGTGCCAACAATAACTTATATTTGTTGCAAGATTTTGGAAGCAAATATATACAAAAACATGTTTGGTAAAGGAGTATTGCAAGTTTGGAAAATAAAATGGCTAGTTAAAAAGGTCATTTTAGAGTTTTTTTTTTAATAAAATAGCTAATTAAAAAGGTCATTTTAGAGTTTTTTTTACTATTCATTGCCACAATACTTTTTGTTATAGACCGGAAGCATCAATTTGAATCGACACGCTTCGTGCTTTTACTTCGCTACATTGACCGAAGCAACAACAGTTGCCAAATAGGTCACAAGAGAGCTCCCTCACGGCACGAGTGAATAGTTCTCCATTTTTAACCATGAAATTAAACGATGTAATAAATGATTCATTTGACTCTTCACATATCTGAAAAACCTATGTCAATCTAATGATTATTTAATTAATGTAAAGGGACGGGGGCAAAGCCACAAATTCAATTGCTATTATTTAGCTAAAATTTAAAATTTTCATAAACTAATTGTAATATAATTTTATTTAAATATTAGATATAGCTTATATACAGTTAGAAAATCTAAAAATGAGAAAAATACAACTTAAATAAATAGACAAAAAATTGATATGAGAAAGAAAAATATAGAAGAAGAAATGATACGTTGCAATTAAAAAGAGAAGAGGTGAAGAAAATAATTTCCTTCATCAATTGTTTCAGTTTTTCAAGAATTTGATTTTTTGAAAAAAAAAAAAAAAAACCAGAAGAGTACTTTGATTCCACTCCAGAAAAAGGTATATCATTATTACTCATATGAAGAAAAAAAAAAATTAACTAAACAAAATCTTTCCGGTTCAAACTAAACAAAACTATTAAGCAGATATGATAACTAAACAAAACTATTAAGCAGATATGATATTAGTGTTGTTGACACGGTCTCACTATATTTTAGTTTATCCTCCTTCCCAATATACAAACCAATATAAGCTCATAAGTAACACAATACCAATCCAAATTTGTAGTATATTCTTTAAATAAATTTAGTAATTTTTCAATTTGGGTATATAAAGACAATTGTATTCTTTTGAAAAAAAAAAAAAACCTTTGGGATTGGTTTAACCCGAAAGAAAATGGGTAATGATTATTTTTTAAAAGTTTAAAATTTTATACATGTGTCTAAATTGTATTAGGTCACATCAATTAGGAGGATGAACTTTATCCTTTAAGAGGAGGACCCAAGTATTCTCCGGTAAATAATAATTCACGATATTTTTTCTTATAAACATTATTTTGTAAAAATATTTTGACAAAAAAAGATTCATGCATTTTTACTAAACATGAAAGAACACTAAATTAATATATACATGTATATATATAATCTGAAACTATGATGAAATTTGAGATGAATTATTAATATATTTAAGGGTGAATTACATTAAATTTCCTTTTCTATTTTTTTTGTCAAAAAAAACCCCCTTAACTATTAGAGGGGAGTGATTTAACTAACTTCCGTTAACTAATTATTAGAGGGGGTGATTTAATTCTCAAATATATATATATATATATATATATATATATATATATAACAAATAAATTTCAAGAAAAAAAACCTAGATTTATATATATTGAAAAAAATATATATAGGCATTATTTCTGGTAATATACCTTTAATAAATCTATATAAATGAAAATTAATAAAAAAAAAATAAATGAATGCACAATATAATTCTCAACTATATATATAGCAAATCAATTTCAAGAAAAAAAAAAAAACACCTAGGTTTACATTGGAAAAAAAAAAAAATTAAGCATTATTTCTGTTAGTATCCCTTTAATAAATCTATATAAAATGAAAATCAATAAAAACCAAATAAATGAATGAACAATATAATTCTCAAATATATATATAAATAACAAATAAATTTCAAGAAAAAAAACCTAGATTTATATTGGGAAAAAAACCATTGCAACAATATGTACTCTTCTTCTTGCTCAACTTCTTTTATTTACCCATCATTATAATGTTATATATAATTTGTATCATAATATAATGGTATATATAATATGTATCATTAAATATTATTTAAATATATTTTCATTTTCATCTAACTTTCAGACCAATATAAATCTAGGTTTTTTTTTTTTTATTACTTTGGAAAAAAAATCTAGGTTTTTTTTTTTTTTTTTTTTTTCTAGAAATTTATTTGCTATATATATATTTGAGAATTATATTGTGCATTCATTTATTTGGTTTTTTATTGATTTTCATTTTATATAGATTTATTAAAGGGACACTATCAGAAATAATGCCTAATTTTTTTTTTTTCTAATATGAATCTAGGTTTTTTTTTCTTGAAATTTATTTGCTATATATATATATATTTGAGAATTAAATCACCCCCTCTAATAATTAGTTAACAGAAGTTAATTAAATCACTCGCCCTCTTATAGTTGAGGGAGATTTTTTTGACAAAAAAATAAAAAATGGAGATTTAGTGAAAAATACAAATAGAAAAGAGAAATTTAATGCAGTTCACCCTATATTTAATGACAACTAGTCTAGTTCTCCACTTTGAGGTATCAATATGTACGCTTTTGATGAAATCACCTATGGATGTGTGAATCAAAATTAAAAATATAGGATTTACAACAAGCTGGTTTACTTAAGTGATGAGATGCCAAATTATAACAAATTGGTGAAGTGAAAATATATAATATCAAAAGTGATTAAAAAAAAAATCACCATCATTAAGGTCTATCAATGACTTTTCTATTTTATTTTTAATTTCAAATCACCTCCTAATAATATTTAATTTTTTAAAATTATTTTTAATAATCACAAATACATGCATGTAGATAATGATTAATATTCAATTCTCATTATGATTCTTTATGTTTCTATATTAATCATAAAAACTTAAAATATTTTGATATGAAATTGAACAACTTAATTTTTCACAAGAAATTATGCTATATCATCATCATTTCGCTTACAGAAAAAAAAAAAAATGCTGTCATCATTTCAAACAAATTAACACTTTCACAATCTTTTGATGCAATAAAGTGGAATTTATTGACAATTTAGTATTTTTTTTGCTGCATTAAAGTGGGATGTAATTGTGAAACTATCCATCGTTGAAGTCTATTGAAGAATCTTTTTTTTTTTTAACAACTCCAGTCAGTACTCAAGGTGTCTGTCATTGACTCATTAAGTTGTTTGAAGCGTATCCTTAAATTAAGATTATTTATATATGAGTAAAGTAAAAACTGTAAAACCAACTTCTACTGTATAAAAATTGTACAGAAATTTTTTTCCTACATATAAATCTCTAACATTTGAAAAATTGTAATAAATTGCCTTCTAATAAGGGTTGCTAATCAATTTTGACCAAATAAATTTATTTAAAATCCTATAATACCCTTAAGGGCTTTTTTTGTATTTGAGTCTCTAATTTTTATAAAAACTTTAATAACTCTATAATTTTTATAAAATTGCCAAAATATCCCAAAACGTCAAATATATATTTTATAAAACTACAAAAATATGTCTTTAAAAAAAAAAAATTAAACCCCAAAGTTCTTATAGCACTATTTTATTTTAATCCTTTAGTTATTTGAGTCATCAAATAAAAAAATTGTCTTTACTCGCTCAACTCGAAAATTTTAAAGAATTTTTTTTTAACCCATATTTGCATATTTAGTATCCAAATGTGTCGATACCTCAATGTGTTGAAAAAAACCATTTTTTTTACTGTAGTAGTGTCTCTGGTAGACTTTAAAAAAATAATAAATAAATAAATAAAAATTAAGTATATTTAAGGTTTATTTATTGCACTTCGTCATTCATATATTTGTGAATAGAATACAAGTAGGCTCTTAATTAGTGATTAACAAGACACGTGTAAATAAAAAAATGAATCATTCTCCTTGTGAATGAACTCTTCTAGGTTAGGGGTCGAATTCCTGCTCCCTGGTGAGGCACTACGGTTGAGAATAACTGAGTTGTTTGGGGTTTATCAGAAAGGAGGAGGGTTTTAGGGAAGGAGATCCAAATTTGCTACAAAATCTCCTCAGAAGAACCAGACCAGAACAGGTGAGTCCTTTCCATCACTGTCCATGTTTAATTTCATATTCAAATCTTTGCCTTATTTGAGGTGTGTCGTATCAACTTCACCAATCCGGACACTACATTTTCTTCAACACGACCCTTTATCTTCATCACCATCTCTCAAATCCATATCTACCACTTCAGATCAACACTCATTCACAGTTGATTACCTCACTAAATCATGTGGGCTTCGTCCAGAAGAGGCTCTCTCGGCCTCCAAGTACATCACCATCAAAACCCCAGACAAACCAGACTCCGTTCTCGCATTCTTCAGCAGCCATGAATTCACCGAAACCCAGATCTCACTTCTCATTAGAAGATGCCCTCGGGTACTCATGTCCGATCCCGAGAATACCCTTTTCCCCAAAATCGTATTTTTCCACTCTAAAGGTTTTTTAACCCAAGACAGTGCTAAAATACTGTCTACAACACCAGCTGTTTGGAAAACCAAATCATCCCATCGTACAATTTCTTCAAGGAATTCCTCAAGTCCGAAGAGAAAACGAATGCCGTTATTAAACACTTTGCTGGGATTTTGTTGTATGATCTTCACATATTTGTAGCACCCAATATTGAAGCTCTGAGAGAAATAGGTGTGCCTGAATTGAATATTGTGGCTCTCTTTACAGAAAAACCTCAAGCTTTCACGGCTAATGCTGATAGGTTTAAGGAGATTGTAGAGGAAGTAAAGAAAATGGGTTTTAACCCTACAACAATGATGTTTGGTATAGTAATTCATACACTAGGGGCAATGAGTAAATCAACTTGGGAAAAGAAGGTGGAGGTTTATAAGAAGTGGGGTTTGTCCGAGGATGAGATGTTGGTGGCTTTTGTGAAGCATCTAAGGTGTATGATGGCATCAGAGGATAAGATTATGGGGATGATGGATTTTTTTGTCAATAAAATGGGTTGGGAGTCTTCTATTATTGTGAGGAGGCCAGGGCTTCTTTCCTTGAGCTTGGAGAGGAGGATCATTCCAAGGTGTTTGGTTTATCAAATTCTGTTGTCAAAAGGTTTGATTAAGAAGGATTTTGGCTTGATTAAGATGATGGACTATCCTGAAAGTTACTTCATACAGAAGTATGTGAAAAAATATGAAGAAGAAGCTCCTGAGCTTTTGAAGTTATATCAGGACAAGTTGAATCTTTCAAAGTAACTAGGGTATGGGAAAATGACCATTTTAAGGTCGTACATCTCTAATCCCATCTATACATTGGGTAGTGAATATGCTTTTGTTTGAAATACAACAATGGCAATCAAATTTCATTAATCTCTGAGCAAATTTGTGTTCTCTGTTTTAGTTCCGGCAATTGAAACTTGAAGCTCAACAACATGGTGCATTGAATTCTCCAGTACTTTTGTAGTGGTTAAGGCTTGGTGTGATATGCCATTGTTTGTTATAGTCTGGGAGAGCAGTGTAGGTGATCTTGGTTTAGTTTGACAAACAATTTGGTCTATTAATGATTTGGAATTTCAATTGTAATGATGCAAACATCTGACTCAGTGTTGTACTTTTTTATCCAGCAACTGTTATCTTCCCCTTTCGATTAGAGCATAAATAAATGAGATTATATGACATTGTTCTATTTATGCAAGTGTGACATTGTTGGTTCAATTCATGATTCAGTCCATCTATCATCTTCCTCCCAGTCTGTATTGAGAACTTTCTTTCAGTTTGTCCAGGATGAATTCAGGTTTACACTCTTTTCTTTTGCTGCTTGGTGTTTATAGCACGAATGTTATAGGATGCTCACCTTGGTGCATTGCTGTCGGATACCTCAACAACAAATATATTGACGACGATTAGTCCATAAAACTGGAATGGAGAAGAAAGTGTTACTAGATCAGCATGGTGAATCATCGATTGTTAATCAATATGTTCCCTTCATAGCCCATTTATATAATGCTCTGTTTTTAAGTTCATTTGTTACTTCCTTTGTTTGTGTTGGGAAATGTACAATATTTAAAAACTTTTCGAGGGATTTAAATTCATAGATCTTGATTCATCACATAGAAACAAGTTTTATGCAAAAATAAAAATATGATGTATCATTCAATTAATGGATTGAATACTTACATCAAAGGTCTGAGTAAATCTTTAAATCTTTCTTCTAAAGTGAATGTTCTCATTTATTGTAGATCCCTTAGCAAGATGCCTTCTCCTCGGATCTCTATTTTCTTGGTAATTGTTTTGCCTTTAGGAATCACTCATAAGCCTCCATGAATGACCTTGGAAAACTAGGCTTGTGGAAGCCTCCATTAGATGAGAACATAAACCCTAATTTTCTAGAGAGAGAAAATTTATTCCTTTTTCCTTCTTTCAAAAATCACACCTCAAATATTCATAGACCATGTCTATTTATAGGCAACATAAAGGTAAAGAAAAGGAAATAACAAATCCTTCTCAATCTCTAATTCACATGTCTCAAATCTAATATGATTCCAATATCAAGTTGGGCTATGAGTGAGAATCCATTGGGCCTATTATTTTATTGGCTACAATGAATTAATAATTGACCCGGTCCATGGACCCAATTCAATTAATTCATAAATTAATTTCTACTCCACTAAAGGAAATTAATTGAATTCCAATTAAATAATAAATAACCACTAAGTCAATATTGCACTTTGACCCCTTTATGCATAATTAGTTATCGGATAAATAAAGCCATCAATCCGACTACTTAATTAATATATTTATTTTGGTACCATTGATTATTTCTGGCTCGATCACAATAAAAACATTTATTTGACAAAAATAATAATTTAAATAAATAAATATATAATAAATCATTTTGTCTAAAAACATATGAAGGCCTTCAAATTTACTTTGTGATCAATCATAATCAATACAAAATAAATACAAGTAGCAATGATGCAAATATTTAAAATATAACCCTCTAACTATTAATTACATAACTACCCAAAGTGTTGGTCTAAGGATCCCGAAGAATCCGCCAAACAAATCAAAGTAATTATTAATTAATAAAAGAATCTATAATTTTCTCATGCTTAAGAGTCAAATGCTATGACGGTAATAGGGAGCAATTGCATACGACGGCTCTCGCAATATATCTCAACCTAACGCGGATCCAATTCAAGTCTTAATTTATTATGAGTCCATCCATAATTACCGACTATGAACAATTTATAATTACTATTTATATATCATGCATTGATTGCCATCACATACATATATATAAATATTTCTTGTAATCACAGGGACACTATCAATTTCATAATGAATCGAAACATAATACATTGAATTCACCAATTATATAAATCATAAATATTTCAGATATGTCAGGAACATATGTCACTATAATCCAGATAGGAATTTGCTATGCCAGGGCATATAAATCCCAACAGTTTGTACATGCAAAACAAGGCTGTTTGGAGAATGAGGTTTTAGGGACAAATTGTGGAGGAGCTCTGAAGGGGAATGAAATATATTTAGGGACTCTTATCAAACCATAATTATTTGCATGCCATTCCACACAGCTCAAGAAAAAGCCCCATATATGCCTCAACTTCAAAATGGAACTTCAAAAGCTCCTTAGCAAGTAGAACAAAACTTGTTATAAATTTGAAGTGTAAAGGAACATAAAATATTATGCATATATATATACTACCAATAATAAACAGTCAAAGAAATCCTTTTGAGTGTATTCAATAGACATGCTAATCAATAATTTGAGGGCTTTTATTTTGTTGACTGAAGACTTAGATTATAAAACATTGCAGTACCTTGCAGATGACAAATAATATGTATTATTGAATGCTAATATATATTCTGTATGTGTGTGTGTGTATTGCTGCTTTTTCAGCAGCCAAATTTGGTAGAGGAAACAGCAATTCGTTGCACACACGCAAGTTATATAGAGGCTAACAATTCATTTTCATAATTATTACATAATGTTCTCAATTTTAGCATGAACATGACTATATATTATTGTAGAAAATGAATTAAGATCATTGTGGAAGATAGTTAGGACAAATTATGAACTACCCAGAAACAACTTCTGGGTATAATTAGGACAAGTTATATAATTAGCAAAAAATTCCACTTACCTTGCCCCAGTTTCCAAAGTTCCTAATCCCTCAAGAATGAAAGATTTTCTACCTAATACCTGTTGTAATACTATTTATAAGGTCATTTCTAAACTTACTTGCTATGAAATTTCAATCTATTATTTCCAGTTATTGATCAGAATAAAACACAGAAGAATAAGGAATCCTTTCTTTTGATGAAACATAAAATTACCAAAATACCTTTGCTAAGAAGGGCTTAAACCTCACTTCCACACCAAACATAAAATCTGGAAAAACAAATGTAAGAGTGAGATTTGAATCCAAGACCCCTTAAAACCAAAAGTTGATGATCATATTAGGTTACTTTGTAGCGTTTTTTTAATTAAAAATATATTTACTTAACCCAATATATATATATTGATTCCAGGTGTAAAGATGGATGTTTAAAGTAGGAGGTCAATAATGTAAATTAGCAATTGGGACTAAGTAACAAACACTGTGTGTGTCCTAATTTTTTTAAAATATATTAAAACAATATCTAACACAATGTTTAGTATCTGAGAGTATTTTGTTTAGTTTCCATAAAAATGTCATCAACAAATCTATGGCAGCTTAATTAGGACTGCTATATATATCCTCACTCTAAAGTCCATGCACGAGACTTGCTTGTTAAGCACCTTGGGGTTTCTACAATAGAGACCCAACCTCTCATTATAAAATAGTTGCGCCGCCTCCAAATTAAAGCATTATTCAAATCTAGAGAGAGGGAGGGGTGGTGTAGAGTCTAGAGAGAGAGATCAGAGGGCGAGCGTATCCACAAGCAGGACAAACATTCCTCTTGGCCAGCACGTTTGCTAAAGGACTTCTACGAAATTAATCCCAATTCTGAAGAAGGAATTAATAACTAACGAAAAGTCACGTAATAATAGTTTTCAGAAGAGAAGAAAGTGTTTGGAACAGAAGACGTTTGAATTATCCACTCTTTGTGGTGTTGAAGCCTGTGTGGTAGTTTATGGTCCAAACCATTACCGTCGATGATGATCAACAACTCCACATGTGGCCTAACGATCTTAATACAATCCGGCATATGTACACCTTGTACAAGCAACAATCTGATAAAAATCGTTGCAAATAGACCCTTGATTTGTCTGACTTCTTGGAAGACAACTCGAGGAAGAAGAAGAAGAAGAAAGAGGGTAATGAAACAACTGATCATCAAAAAGGTACTATTTCTTCAGTAATTGTAAAAGTAGAGAATAAGAAAGTTGATGAGACCACCAAGAATATCAAGTTCCCTACGTGGGATAATGAGTTTAACAATCTGTCCGAGCAACAATTGAGACAATTTGGTACCAAGTTGGCCATCAAAACTAGGGTTCAACTCTGGAAGTCTAATTACCAAAAATAAAAATAAAAAATTTGGGATTCGGTTTAACCCGAAAGAAAATGGGTAATGATTATTTATAAAAAGTTTAAAATTTTAAATATGTGTCAAAATTATATTAGACCATATCAATTTAGAGGGTGAACTTTATCTTTCAAGAGGAGGACCCAAGTATTCTCCGATAATAATTCAAGATATTTTTTTATAAACACCATTTTACAAAAATATTTTGACCAAAAAAGATTCATGCATTTTTACCATGATGGAACACTAAATTAATATATACATGTATATATAATCTGAAACTGTGCTAGCAATTGGCGGATGAAATTTGAGATGAATTATTAATATAGTTCTCCACTTTGAGGTATCAAAACGTACGCTTTTGATGAAATCACCCATGGATGTGTGAATTAAAATTAAAAATATAGGATTTACAACAAACTGGTTTACTTAACTGATGAGATGCTAAATTATAACAAATTGGTGAAGTGGAAACATATCACATCAAAAGTGATTAAAAAAAAAATCACCATCATTTAGGTCTATTAATGGCTTTTTTATTTTATTTTTAATTTCAAATCACCTCCTTATAATATTTAACTTTTTAAAATTATTTTTAATAATCACAAATACATGCTTGTAGATTATGATTAATATTCAATTCTCATTATGATTCTTTATGTTTTTATATTAATGAGAAAAACTTAACGTATTTTGATATGAAATTGAACAACTTAATTTTTCACAAGAAATTATGCAATACATTATTAATTTCTCTTAAAATCCTAATCTTACATTTATTTGAAACTTTGTTTTCTTATTCGTTCAATTAAAACTTAGTGAGAGAAAAGTTTCATATTTTCTATTATTTCAAGCTATATCATCATTTCGCTTATAGGGAAAAAAAATAATAATAAATAACTGTCATCATTTCAAACAAATTAACACTTTCACAATCTTTTGATGCAATAAAGTGGAATTTATTGACAATTTAGTATTTTTTTGCTGCATAAAAGTGGGATGTAATTGTGAAACTATCCATCGTTGAAGTCTATTGAAGAATCATTTTTTTTTTTTCCACAACTCCAGTACTCAAGGTGTCTGTCATTGACTCATTACGGTGTTTGAAGAGTATCCTTCAATTAAGATTATTTATATATGACTAATTTATATAATCCTATTAATTTGTATATACATATAAATCCCTAACATTTGAAAATTTGTACTAAATTGCCTTCTAATAAGGGTTGCTAATCCATTTTGACCAAATAAATTTATTTAAAATCCTATAATACCCTTAAGGGCATTTTTGGCACTTGAGTCTCTAATTTTTATAAAAACTTCAAGAACTCTATAATTTTTATAAAATTGCCAATATCCCAAAACGTCAAATATGTATGTTTATAAAACTACAAAAAAAAATGTTTTTTTTTTATAAAAATTAAACCCCAAAGCTCTTATAGCAGTATTTTTATTTTATTATTTTAGTTATTTGAGCCATCAAATAAAAAAGTTGTCTTTACTCGCTCAACTTGAAAATTTTAAAGAATTTTTTTTTTAACCCATATTTGCATATTTAGTATCCAAATGTGTCGATAGCTGTGTTGAAATTTTTTTTTTTTAATGTAGTAGTGTCTCTGGTAGACAATAGACATAAAAATGATAATAATAAATAAATAAAAATTAAGTATATTTAAGGTTTATTTATTGCACTTCGTCATTCATATATTTGTGAATAGAGAATACAAGGCTCTTAATTAGTGATTAATAAGACACGTGTAAATAAAAAATGAATCAGTCTCCTTGTGAATGAACCCTTCTAGGTTAGGGGTCGAATTCCTGCTCTCTGGTGAGGCACTACGGTCGAGAATAACAGAGTTGTTTAGGGTTTATCAGAGAGGAGGAGTGTTTTAGGGAAGGAGATCCAAATTTGCTACAAAATCTCCTCAGAAGAACAAGACCAGAACAGGTGAGTCCCTTCCATCACTGTCCATGTTTAATTTCATATTCAAATCTTTGCCTTATTTGAGGTGTGTCGTATCAACTTCACCAATCCGGACACTGCATTTTCTTCAACACGACCCTTTATCTTCATCACCATCTCTCAAATCCATATCTACCACTTCATATCAACATTCATTCACAGTCGATTACCTCACTAAATCATGTGGGCTTTCGTCCAGAAGAGGCTCTCTCGGCCTCCAAGTACATCACCATCAAAACCCCAGACAAACCAGACTCCGTTCTCGCGTTCTTTAGCAGCCATGGATTCACCGAAACCCAGATCTCAGTTCTCATTAGAAGACGCCCTCGGGTACTCATGTCCGATCCCCAGAATACCCTTTTACCCAAAATCGTATTTTTCCACTCTAAAGGTTTTTTAACCCAAGACATTGCTAAAATACTGTCTACAACACCAGCTGTTTGGCAAAGAAGTTTGGAAAACCAAATCATCCCATCGTACAATTTCTTCAAGGAATTCCTCAAGTCCGAAGAGAAAACGATTGCCGTTATTAAACACTTTGCTGGGATTTTGTTGTATGATCTTCACATATCTGTAGCACCCAATATTGAAGCTCTGAGAGAAATAGGTGTGCCCGAATTGAATATTGTGGCTCTTTTTACAAAAAAACCTCAAGCTTTCACGGCTAATGCTGATAGGTTTAAGGAGATTGTGGAGGAAGTAAAGAAAATGGGTTTTAACCCTACAAAAGTGATGTCTGGTGTAGCAATTCATGCACTGAGGGCTATGAGTAAATCAGCTTGGGAAAAGAAGGTGGAGGTTTATAAGAAGTGGGGTTTGTCTGAGGATCAGATTTTGGTGGCTTTTGGGAAGCATCCATGGTTTATGCTTGTATCAGTGGAGAAGATTATGTCCCCATTTTTTTGTCAATAAAATGGGTTGGGAGTCTTCGATTGTTGCGAGGAGGCCAGTGCTTGTCAGCCTGAGCTTGGAGAGGAGGATCATTCCAAGATGTTTGGTTTATCAGATTCTGTTGTCGAAAGGTTTGATTAAGAAGGATTTTAGCTTGAAGCAGTCGTTGGAGTCTCCTGAAAGTTGCTTCCTAAAGAAGTTGGTGAAAAAGTATGAGAAAGAAGCTCCTGAGCTTTTGAAGTTATATCAGGAAAAGTTGGATCTTTCAAAGTAACTAGTGTATGGGAAAATGGGGAACAGAGTGGACTTTTGGGTAGTGAACATGCTTTTGTTTGAAAAACAACATGGCAATCAATTCACATTCATTAATCTTTGAGCAAATTTGGCATTGTTTGTTATGTGGGAGAGCAATCAAGGTGATCTTGGTTTTGTTTGACATACAATTTCAGAAGTAGTTCAATTTGGTAAATTAGTGGTTTGGATTTTCAACTGTAATGATGCAAACCTCTAACTCAGTGTTGTATTTCTTTTTATCCGGCAACTGTTATTTTCCCATTTCGTGTAGAGCATAAATAAATGAGATTATATAACATTGTTATCTTTATGCAAGTATGACATTGTTGTTTCAATTCGTGATTAGTCCGTCTCACATCTTCCTCCGCGTCTGTATTGAGAGCTTTCTTTAAGTTTGGTTATGATGTTCCATTTGTCCGGGATGAATTCAGGTATACACTCTTTTCTTTTGCTTGGTGGCTGTTTGGAGAATGATGTTTTAGGGACAAATGTTGATGGAGCTCTTAAAGGAAACGAAATATATTTAGGGACTCTTATCAACCTGATTTATTCACGTTGACATGTAACCAAGAGCCAGAAGTATTTGCCTGCCATTCCACAAGCTCAAGAATCTAATCGTGTGGCTTGTCTGAAAGTGAATTGAATCCTAAATCTTCCATGGAGCTCAATGGATCAACGCGTATTTCCCATAGACGTCACCATTTTGCAGAATCAAACAAAAATTCCCAGTAATCCTTAGTTTGTCCCTCCCTGCTACGAATCATTAAGACCAAAATTTGTCCCAAATCTGAATTTCAACTTCTTTTTGGGATTTGTCACTGCAACAGATAAATATACCTCAGAATGAACAAAGGGCACAGTATAAATATAACCCTTTGTTTGTTTTACTTTTAATCCTTTTTCTTCCTCCTCTTCTTTTGTTTCTTTGACTCCGGCTTTTCCACTCTCTTCTCTGGAAGAACACTGTCAAATTCATAGCCACTTAAAGATCAAGTTAAGGCAGCGAACTGTCAAGTCCACCACATTTGTAAAGAAGGGAATCAAGTTCAAAAAGAAAATGCTTTCTTCAAAACCAATAATTCTCACCTCCCCAGATATCAATTAAGAATTTAAGATGTGAATCAGAAAGTAAGAACAGGACTGAAACTATGAAAAGAAGGAGAAAAAAAAAAATTCTTGGGGATCAAACACTGTATTTCTATATGACAATGCATTATCCATTTTTTCACTAAGGGAAACAAATCATAAATTTATCGAACCATCACCTATTTTTTCATTAGGGAAACAACTCATAAATTTATGGAACAATAAAGTGGGACCTTCCAGGTCATGAAAAAAAGAAAAAAAAAAAAAAGAAAAAAACAAAATGTAATAGGGTCATTAACCGAGTAATGTTGGATATCAACTTGTTTAATCAGACTCCATTGGACACTAGCCTAGTGTTGGAGATAATTAACTCCCTCCAACTCACTTAATAGTAAGCTGTTGTTGATAGTTAAATCTCTTATTTATCGAAAGTATTATCATCAACACAAGCATATACTTACACACATTCACACACAATACAATATTTTACATGGTTCACCCAACTTTATAGCTACGTTCATAGATAGAGATTTTACTTTTATGAATCAAGAAGAGAATATACAATCAAATATCAAAACCTCACTTAGTCACTCATCATCTCTTTTGAAGCTATGTCTATACACGGGAATTACATATGTTAGAAAAGTGTGTGAATAAAACTTGCTTGCAACGTGTCCATCACGTTTAGGACTGCAAGTTGGGTTGGCCCAACCCAGCCCAGCCCCAACCCAACCTTAACCCGAATCGGGTTGGGTTGGGCCAACCCGAATTGTACCTAACATGGGTTGTGGTCATAACCCGAACCGAATATTTTCGGACGGGTTGGGTCGGGTTGACGAGTTGAGTTTTTTATTTTTATATATATAATTTTTTTTTTTTGGAAATTTATATATATTATATTATATATATATATATATATATATATATAGGGCAAATCGATTCAGCCTCCCCAATCGCCGCCTCCAACTCTCTTCTCGTTCCCAACTCTGAACTTGCCTTCTCTCTCTCTCTCTCTCTCTGCAACTGCGAAATACTAAATCTACAAGAATCAGAATTTCAAAACCTATATATTTCAGTTTATCTATTTGTTGCAATAATCAAAAGTTCAAAACCGAATATTCTCAGTGTTAATTTTATTTATTTATTTTAAAACCCAAATGTGGTTCCTCCAAATCACCACCACCATACGCCAGAATCTGATGCCAACTGCAGAGCTCCTCCTTCGCCGCCACCCGAAGAAGAAACCGTCAAAGAAGTGCCCTGCGAAGGTCTCAAAGAGACGACCGTCCTCCGCCTGAGCGAGGGAAAGGAAACCCAGATCTCCGGCGAAGAGGCAGGCGCCATCGCCGGAAAAAAGAAACAACATCACATCGAGGCCGGCTGAGGATCAGACAACCACAACCAGACGGCTCAAGAAGAAGCAACCCAGATCTCCGGCAGAGAGAGAAAGAGAAAGAAAAGAGAGAGGAGAAAAAAAAAATAATAAATAATTAATTTTTGGTTTTGTGTTACCCGAACCCAACCCGAATATGTCTAGGTTTTGACAAAACCCATCCCGAACATAACCCGATTTGTGAATTGTATGTGCAGATTTCAAAATTTCTGGGTTGGGGCTGGGCTGGGCTGGGCTAACCCGCCCAAGTTGTAGCCCTAATCACGTTACAATTGCAACGTGAATATGGCTTTGGTTGTCTAAGCACATCTCGTTAGACAAACTACATGAATATCATTCATGCATATACCATAGTCATATATGTTAATACATACCCTAAATAAAGGCTTAGTAGCGTATCCTCTAAGGGAAAACTCGACCGATCTTTTAAAGCATTTTGTTGGGTTTATTGTCAAAGGCTGTGAATGTTGGTCACAACGCTTTGGTCGTGACTGTTTGTAACAATGAAATGATAAGTCCCTTGATTGAGATACCTACATCCTACTAGGTGTGAGTTTTGAATCCTGTTTAAATAAACCAAGGCTGTCATTTGCAATTGGTTCAATTATGAAATTTGAATACTTCTTTCTCCTCCCTCCAAACAATCTCAAATGGTTTTAGCCATTACAAATTTAATCTACGTATTATTGGTAGTGTTAATTTTGGTCTAAGCCAATGGTCAAGTGATCGAAGCCCGTTAAACCCGAAGCCAGTGTGGTTAAGCTGCATAGAAATTAGTTTGAACCAAATAGTTCGAATTGAACCCATTTTTATTCTTTAGTATTATAGGTGCATTTTTTAGCCAGATATAGTATTACACAGAGAATGTTCGTCGTATCCACAAGTTTGAAGTGTTACTAGTGGTGGATGGAGATTGTTGAATCTTAGGAGACAATTGTCATGCAGTCCATCAGCACCTTGCGGGCATAAATTGTCTTAAGGACATAATATTCAATATTAGCCTTGGTCCAGGTTCTTTATTTATTATTATTATTTTATTGCTTCATTTTGCATGTTTAATTAAATGTTGAGTTAAATATTTAATTAATTATTTCTTAACATATTATTATTAGTCCCATAGCATATTAGTATAAGTTTTGTTGTATTGTAAATATCACATGAAGCATAGATTTTCCAACAATATATACTCTTTCTTCTCCTCACAACACTCACTCTTAAACCATTTACATATTTTCTTGGGTAAAGTTCCAAATAAAAAATAAAAAATAAAAAAATCCTACACTATGTTCGAATTTTCAAATAACCCCCTTCAAGTATATTTTATGCATAATACTCCCTGAACTATCATATTTTGTTGCAAAATACCCCAATGCTTAGACTATTTTTCAGTAAATGACCATAATACTCATTCTTATTGAATTTCACTTTTTTAATTAATTTTTCTGATTAAAATAAATTATGAAAAAAATCATACTAATTTGATGACGTATTCTCCATTAAATGTCCATAAATTTAGCTTTAATTTTTTAAAATTAATTGTTTACATAAAAATTTTAAGTAGAAAATTTTAAAACAATTTAATTAATTTCTTAATTTTTCATGAATATATTGTATAAAAAAGAATGTATTTTTTATTTAAGTAATCTATTAATTTTTCATGAATATATTGTATGAAAAAGAAGGTATTTTTTTTTACAATAAAAAAGTTTAAACAGGGTATAATAAGTTTTATTATTAATAATAAAGTTCTAACAATAAGTTAGTCCTTTTAGAAAATGGTAGTTCCAAATTTATTTTATTTTCATTTTTATAATAAATTGATACTAATAAGAAAATTAAGGTAAATAGTATAATTAATATTTGGATAAGAGAGATGATAATAAAAATAATTTACTAAGAAATGATAAATTTAATGAGAATGAGTAAAATGGTCATCTGTGATCGATTTATCCTTAATTGCAACAAATCAATAGTTCAGGGGGGCAATTTGTAGTTCAGGGGGTTATTTGGAAAAAGGCAATAGTTCAAACCCTATTTTCTTTCTTCTCTCTCTCTCTCTAAACATCTCACACCCATCTCTATTTATAAAGTCTCTCAAACCCAATTCTTTATTGGACTAAGTATTCCTCAACTTGCCTATAAGGAGTTACCATATGAGTTTTTAACTCTAAAATAACAATCTTCTGGCTTCCACGTCTAACTAGTTCAACTTTTTTTGAAATGGTTCAATTAGAGTTACAATTATGTCTAACTGATTCAAGAAAAAGTTGAACTAGTTCCAAATAACTTGAACACCGAATTCGAGCCTCAAAAGCCCAATACCGAATTCCACCTGGTTCATAATAAGCGTTGAATGTTGCACATTCGAGCCCTTAAAGTTGCATATCATAGTTCTTTAGTAATGCTTATGTAGCAGTACTTATATCGATTTCTTGGTTTCGGTTATTTTCATATATTCACTTCAAAAACGGTTAATTTTACTTGTTTCGAGCCTTTGGTGATGTTTTCGAGGATTGAGGAAGGTACCGGCTTGCTTGGGATTAAATTAGAGCCCAATCGGACTAAATTCAACTTTTCTCAGTATAGAAGTTTGAACTTTCATTTTGTCTGGGCAAATTTCCTAATTTTCGCTGGATTGCTGTTTTTTACTCTTTTCCAATTCTAATTGGGTCAGAATTCCTCCAAAAGTTGGAGCACGAGTTTAGGGCCTATTGTTGGTCAATAGAGGTCAGAATGAATGCCTATTGAAGGAAGAGAATACATAAGAAAGGACTTGGCGGCTCGGAGCAATCTTCCATTGTTAAAGCTTGAAGAAGGTGATTCCGATCAGATTTGCAGTCCATGGAGATGACGTTCATCACATCATTGAAGCTTTCTATCTTCTCCATGAATAGCTAAACTCCTCCTTAGGAAATTAATATAACCCTAGCCAAGTAACATGGTTTAATTGTATTTATTTTTGGGGAATTCTATATGTAAGTGTATGAATTGCATAACTTTGGGAATTGTTTTGGTTGTGCCAATTGTAGTTGGATTTAATGTTTAAACTTGATCTTAATGAAATCATTGTCTTGTCTTAGAAATTAGTTTTGTTTCAATTGGACTCATGTCGTTCTTATTTTCTATGATTATAGGAATTATTAGTATTCATTCTTTATGTTAGCAAATAATTTAATAGTTCATGCTTAAGAAAGATAAGTTGTATTACACCCTAGTTTAGATTAGTTGGGTAGACAATTCATGCCAACTGAAGATAAACTATGGTTATTGGTTGTTAATATATTTATCATCTTGACATAATCATTGTGAGCTTATAACCGCATGATTCATAGTACATATATAATGAATTTCCCCGGAATTAATATCATTGACCATTGTTATGAGGTTAGTAGTGAAATTCAATCCCCTAAACCCCTTGATGCAGAACAAGTGGCTGAAGATTTTAGAACCCGTTTGAACCGTTAGAAGGTCAAATAGGCAGGCTAGGCTGACCAGTTTTTTTTCATTGCAAGTAGAAGTAAGAAAACTAACAAATCCATCTTTCCTTTTAAATCAAATTAGGGATAATTTTATACTTAACAATACCAACACGGTTCTTGAGGTTCGACATCCTCAATATAGCCCTATACTAGGAATGACTTTAAAGTTTGACCTATCTTTATGTTGTTCCAAGGATCAAATATGAATATGTTTATGTATGATTCTAGATATGAGCTTCAAATGGATTCATAAATACTTTGATATTGAATCGTAAACACTCATCAACCTATTTACCTATTTGTTCATGCTTTGGCAATGATCGTTTAAGCTTTAAGGTGAACTTGTTTCTTTTTTTGAATTGTCTGTTTGTTTATTAAAGTCCCCGTCATCATTGAGTGGACTTTGGATCTTTCTATTAGCAACTTCAATTCTTATGTATCCGTATCTTACCATTAATGTGATCTTGAGTTATGGAGTGCTTGGAATAATCTTTTTTTTTTTTTTTTTTAATCTTTATTGGCTTATTGAGGTCATTCTTGAAATGTGAAGTATCGATAACACTCAATGTAATCGATAACACTCAATATAAATATTAGTCCATAAACATCGTTAATAGTTTGTAATCATCAAAAATTTTAGATTGCCCTTGAATGAAATCTTTAGGGTCGGCTAATTTATTTATTGCTGAAAGCACATGTGACGTCTCACATTGCCCCAGGAGAGGAGGGGGCAGAAGTCTCTCAAATCTATATCTAGCACTTCAAGTCAGCACTCATTCACTGTCGATTACCTCATAAAATCATGTGGGCCTCGTCCAGACAAGGCTCTTTTGGCCTCCAAGTACATCAACATCAAAACCCAGACAAACCAGACTCTGTTCTCGCATTCTTCAGAAACCATAGATTCACCGAAACACAGATCTCACTTCTCATCACAAGAGTCCCTCAGGTACTCGTGTCCGATCCCGATAAAACATTTTTGCCCAAAATCGAATTTTTCCACTCTAAAGGTTTTCCAAAAAAAGATATTGCCAAAATACTGTCTGCAACACCAGAAGTTTGGAAAACAAAATCACCCCATCATACAATTTCTTCAAGAAATTGCTCTAAGTCGGAAGAAAAACGAATGACATTATTAAACGCCAGGCTAGGCTTTTGTTTTATGATCCTCACATATTTGTAGCACCCAATATAGAAGCTCTGAGAGAAATAGGTATGTCCGAATCAAATATTCTGGCTCTCTTCACAAATCAACCTAGTGCTTTCACCACTAATGCTGATAGGTTTAAGGAGATAGTGGAGGAAATAAAGAAAATGGGTTTTAACGCTCAAAGAATGAATTTTGCTTTAGCAGTTAACGCACCGAGGGGAATGTGTAAATCCACTTGGGAAAAGAAGGTGGAGGTTTATAAGAAGTGGAGTTTGTCTGAGGATCAGATTTTGGTGGCTTGTGGGAAGCATACACGGTTTATGGTGGCATTAGAGGATAAGATTATGGGGATAATGGATTTTTTTGTCAACAAAATGGGTTGGGAGTCTTCAATTGTTGTGAGGAGGCCAATGCTTGTTTGCCTGAGCTTGGAGAGGAGGATCATTCCAAGGTGTTTGGTTTATCAAATTCTGTTGTCAAAAGGTTTGATTAAGAAGGGTTTTGGCTTGAAGCAGTTGTTGGAGTCTCCTGAAAGTTATTTCCTAAACAAGTTTGTGGAAAAATACGAGGAAGAAGCTCCTGAGCTTTTGAAGTTATATCAAGAGAAGTTGAATCTTTCAAAGTAACTAGGAGGGTATGTTAAATGAGGAACACAATATCCTTTTTAAGGTCCTACATCTCTGATTCCAACTATACATTGGTTTCTCCTTGTTTACTATTGGGTAGTGAATATGATTTTGTTTGAAATACAACATGGCAATCAATTTTCATCAATCTCTGAGTAAATTTGTATTCTCTGTTTTAGTTCCGGCAATTGAAACTCGAAAGCTCAACAACATGGGGAATTAACCTCTCCGCTACTTTTGTAGTCTAGGTGATCTTGGTTTTGTTTGACATACAATTTCAGAACTAGTTCAATTTAATAATTAGTTATTTTGATTTTCAATTGGTAATGATGCAAACCTCTAAGGTTTGTATTTCTTTTTATCCAGCAACTGTTATTTTCGCATTTCATTCAGAGCATAAATAAATAAATGTGATTATATAAGATTGTTCTCTTTATGCATGTGTGACATTGTTGTTTCAATTCATTATTAGTCCATCTCCCATCTTCCTCCGAGTTTGTATTGGGAGCTTTCTTTAAGTTTGGTTATGTTGTTCAGTGTGTCCAGGATGAATTCAAGTTTACACTCTTTTCCTTTGCTCATTGGTGTTGATAGCTCAAACGCTATAGGATGCTCACATTGATGTACTGCTGTCAAATACCTAAATAACAAGTATATTTTTACCTATTATTGACGAGAATCATCTGACTATTATCCAATGTGTTCCCTTCATGGTGCCCATTTACATAATGCTCTGCTTTTAAGTTCGCTTGTTACTTTGTTCATACATGCAAAACAAGGTTGTTTCAAGAATTATGTTTTAGGGATAATGTTGAAGGAGCTCTAAAAGGGGAATGAAATTAGGGACTCTTATCGACCTGATTTTTTACTGTTATAGTTAATTTCATCATTGGGAACAATTGTAATCCCATCAGTTGAATATCTTATCTGATTTTATGACGTGAGCTGAAGCAATAAATTTGTTCACAAGAAACAGTTTATTTTGAATCCACAATGTAGATGTTTTAAATCAACAAAACAAAGGATAATTTCAAAGAAATCTGATATTTGTATTGATAATTGAATGAATAAAAGTTAATTCTGCACCTACCAGTACACATATTTAGAATAAAAGAAAACCTAATTCTATCAAAAAAACAAAAAGAAAAGGGAAAAAATAAATTTTCTCTAAAAATTCGGAAAAAAATAGAATAATAAACCCAATAAATAAAAAAATACTAAATCTAAAATTTTAGAGTATTTGGACTTCTTTAAGGCTTTGAACAAAAATCCCGAAATAATCGGCATGCCTCATGTAACACAATAAAATGCAATTTCAGAGCCTAAATGAAGGTTTTCAGCCGAAAATCAGCATAGCCCATAAGCTAAAGCTAGTGGATTTTTCTCAATGCATCGTTTCCACCCAAAAAAACACTATTGGTTTGTCGAAAACGGACTTGTCAAACTGTTTGTCGAACTGTTTAGAATTCTATCCTACATTAGTCCCCGCTACTTAAAAAAAAACTTGTCCACTGCCATGAAAATCTTCAAAGCACGACACCAAAGTATTTTCACTAGCACCTTTCGAAATAAATACTTCTTCATTGACAATCTGCTCAAATATTGATACTTGACCAACTTGAAGCCCAAATTCTTCCATACCATCTTGGACACCTGATTTGGAAAAATTATTAACCTACTGATCATCAATTAATTCTTGATTCGAACTCCTTGTCACCATCTTCTACTTTTGTTGTGCTAAAATGTTTTTCTGCATCTACCAACTCTTACAAAGGAATTAATATTTTCACATCCTTGACTTCGCACTACAATAGGTGAATAAAAAAAAATATTCTTTTGGTCAACCTCAATAATGTCAGTCGTTGCCTCAATAAAATTATTTTTATTCTTGATGTCAATATTTTTTTTGTAAATTCCATCTTCTTCTTTTGTTATGCTAAAGTATTTTCTGCATCTGCCAACTCTTTGGAATTAATATTTTCACATCCTTGACTTCACCTTTTTCAACTACAATAGGTGAATAAAAAAAAAATTCATCAACCTCAATAATGTCAGTCATTGCCTCAATAAAATTATTATTAATCTTGATGTCACTATCTTTCTTGTAAATTTTCTCCGTAGACTTTTTAACAGATAGAATCTCTTTCCGACAATTCCGACATTTTCGAAACATCAACTCCTCATAATTTGATGGTAAAAATTTAGCCATGAACATCTGTTTCATCTTGTACCACGACCGAACAAGATGTGATCCATCTCTCCTTCGATGAAACTGTATTTGTTCCCACCAAATTGAAGCCGATCCTTTAAGTTTGAAGGCAACAAGCAAAACTTGCTACTTTTCAGGTACATCAAAATATTCTAAAAATTCTTCAACTTCTTCAATCGATTTCAAGACATCTTCAATAATAAAACTTCCATTGAAAGTAAGTAGATTAAGTTTTACCTGAAATTCATGATTGTTGCGTCTACCTCAATCACGGAATATTCACTCCTCATCATGATAAGAATCATCGAAATAATTCGCATAGGCTGAAGACCTATGTGGATAAATAGGAACATAACCCATGGTTGGTTGGATGTGAGACACATCATCAGTACGAACACGAACTGAACCACGAATCTAGTTGCCACCAATTCCAAAACCAGCTGCTACGAACCGATCTTGAGCTGCCCAGGGGCCTTCACTCTACGATCATCATCGGCAAAGTGGGTGCTACCAAAACGAGCAATCGTCATCAGCCCAGGGTAAATCAAGGGTCTGATATCAACTGACGTAGCAAAAAGTGATAAATTTGTTCACAAAAAATAGTTTACTTTGAATCCACAAAACAAAGGATAATTTCAGAGAAATCTGATATTTGTATTGATAATTGAATGAATAAAAGTTAATTTTGCACCTGTCAGTACAAATATTTATAATAAAATAAAACCTAATTCTAGAAGAAAACTAAAACATAAAAAACCTAATAGCAAAAGGAAGATAACACTAAAAGTCATCCTAAAAATAAATTTTCTCTAAAAATTCAGAAAAAATAGAATAAGTAACCTAATAAATAAAAAATACTAAATCTAAAATTTTAGGGCATTTGGACTCCTTTAAGGCCTTGAACAAAAATTCTGAAATAATCGGCAAACCTCCTATAACACAATAAAATGTTACTTCGGAGCCCTAAACGAAGGTTTTCAGCCGAAAACCAGCATAGCCCACATGCAAAAGATAGTAAGTTTTCCTCATTGCATCGTTTTCACCCAAAAACCACTATTGGTTTATCAAAAATGGACTTGTCAAATTGCTTGTCAAACTGTTCAGAATTCTGTCCTACATCAATCAGATCGAACTATTCAGAATTCTGTCTTACATCAATCATTTAGGTTACCATTTAAAAAATTACGTACCACGTAAAACAGGTCAAAATTTTAAGTGATACAGATTACAGTCTTTTTCGAGCTTTCTCTCGGCTAGAAACGAATACTAGTAATACTAGTAGGGGAGTTCCCACCTCTTAGGGAAAATCCATCAACTGCACCAAAGGACTCAAACTCTCCTTAATGCATAACTGGGGTAACTCGAGTTTCCTAAGGGTATGCCGCTTCTATAACCTTTTCATCTCCCTCACGGGCTTCCACATATGACATTTCCAGGCTCAGAAGCTCCCGGACTTGCTTAATGCTTATGAGGATAAGTAATTTTAGGTTTTAAAATATTTTATTAATGACAATTTTGCCCTCAAATATTATTTTAGGTGTTGTTTGATAAAATAAAAAATTAAGTACTGAAAAATTTAAGAATTGAATTTAAGTACTAGAATTTTTGAGTGTAATTAAAAAATAAATATCTTTTTGATATTTTTAAAAAATTTCATTGTTCAGCATTCCGAGATAAGTAATGTCCCTATAACTTAAAATTATTCAAATTGCATTATTAAATGCACTTAATAGAATAAACGTTAATTCTGAAGCGCTCAACTGAGTTATCAAAACAACACTTTAGATTCTCCAACATTGATCCCCACTCTCTAGCAATTTTTTTATTTTTTTACATTCCAAATTAAACTTATTGATTGGGTTTCTATATTCCCTTTGCATTTATTCTAATTTCTCAAAAGTTTCAACAAACATTGCACTTTTCTTCTCAAATAATGTGAATATAAATAATATTCAAAAAATATAAAAATAATTTATATTGTATGGTCCACTCAAGTTTATAATCAACAATCATGCAGTGCAACCCCTCTCACCATTGTTATGATACAAAACTACTATTTAAATAAAAATATAATGATTTGTGTGTGAATTTTAATATTCTTTTCCTAAATATTTAATTTTATAAGTTATTCATTTTGTATTTTGTATTTTGATTTTGAAATTTTTATGGTCAAATTTTAACATTAATATCCATTATTAAATTGATATGTTTTTTTGGTAAAATTTATTATTTTATATGTGTGTTTATATTTTAATATAATATCATTTATAATAAGATAAGCAAAACAAATATGTAATATATACAACATTCAGATTTCAATATTTGCACTTAAAAAATAATTTTAGTAAATTTAATTTTTAAAATTAATACAGGATCAAACAGGACATTCAGCAATTAAAATTTAAACTTTCAAAATTTAATATTTAAAATTTTTAGTGCTTAATTTTTAATTTTATCAAACATCACCAAAATTTTAAAATTAATATTATTTTTATATATATGTGAATTAGTTCTTCTGGGTTAGGGTCGAATTCCTGCTCTCTCGAGACGGCGTCGTGTGACTGTGTGAGGCTGTATTAAACAGCTTGGGAATTGGGGAATGGGGAATGTGTTTTAGGGTTTATCAGCAAGGAGATCCATATTTGCGACAAGATTTCATCAGAAGAAAGACTAGAACAGGCGAGTCCCTTCCAACACTCTCCATGTTTAATTTCATATTCAAATCTTTGCCTTATTTGAGGTTTATTGCATCAACTTCACAGACCCAGAAACTGCATTTTCTTCAACATTA